CCCTCCTCTATCCTATCTCTCCCTCCCTCCTCTCTCTCCCCCCTCTCTTCCTTCCTTCCTTCCTCCCTCCCTCTCTCTTTCTTTCTTTCTCTCTCTCTTTTCTCCTTTCCCTCTCTCCTCTCCCTCCTCCCACCTCCTTTCTCTGTCTCCCTCCTCTCTCTCTCCCTCTTCCCTCTTTCGCTGTCTCTCTCCCTCCCTCCTCTGTCCTTTCCCTCCTTCTCTCTCTCTATTTCTCTCTCCCCTCTCTCCTTCTCTCTCCACACACCCCCCCCCCCCGTTTATTGGGGATGGGGCAGTACCCCAAAACCTCTTTAGAGGGGGGATGCCAAGCAAGAGAAATAAAGAGGAGGGGAGGGGAAAGCGAGGGGGGAAACCCCCCTCTCCCCAGCAACCCCCCTCCTCCCCACCTGCCCTCCCTCCTTCTTTCTGCAACGCAGCCACTCCGGAGCGCATCAGAACCGAGAAGAGATGCGCCCCGCCACATCTCCCGGCCCGGCGGCTTACCGGCTCCGGCCAGCACCTCGGCGCGGGCGGCGCTTCGCAGCAGCTGGTAGTATAGAGCCATCTCGGCCTCGGAGATGCGGCCGGGCGGCCGGGCGGGCAGAGCCATTGGCCCGGTGTGTCTGGCGGGCGGCTGCAGCGGCGCGCCCGGCCGGGCTGGGCTTAGCTGGGTTGGGTTACTCCGCCTCCGCCGGTCCCTCCTTCCCCGCCGGCCCGGGGGCGGCTGGCTCCGCAGGGCAGCCGGAGGAGAGGGGGGTGGGGTCCTGCCTCGGTTTCCCCTCCGGTTGCAGCGCCGGGGGCGCCCAGCTGGATGGAGAGCGATTCAGACGCGAGGATGGAGACGGTGCCCAACTTTCCAGCGGGGGAGCCAAAAGGGGCTCGTCCTTACCCTCCCCAAAGGACGCGGCCCCTGCTTCCCTAGTGTCCCGCATCACGTCGGAACCGCCCGCCCCGCTTTAAGGGGACGACGAAGGTGGCCTTGGAAGGTGGGTTTCATCCCCTGCGGGGGTCCCGCCGGCTCCAACATTGCGCGCGGCCGGCGATTTGCAACCAAGGAAGCAGAAAATTGCCTTACAAGGAGTCGGACCGGTTGGACTGGACTGGTTAGCCCTTCTCCAACTGGGCGCTCTCCAGAGAGGGCTGGTCCTGCAGGCTGTCACCGGTCGAAGCTGGGCTGGCCGTTGGGGATTCTGGGAAGTGTAGTCCCAGCACATCTGGGAGCTTGCTGGAATCCCTTGGGTAATAATCCCTTTTGGGGAAGAGCTGCAAGGCTAAATAGCACAGGTGCCTGGAAAGCCAGTTCCTTAGTCTCGGCCCCTTTAAGAGGGGTGGACTTCAACTCCCAGCATTCCTTGGGCCCTTTAACAGGGGTGGACTTCAACTCCCAGAATTCCTTAGGCCGTTTTAAGAGGGTTGAATACCACCTCTGCTTAAAAGCCAGTAAACTTTAAGAGAGATTTGCAAACTTGCTTGCTTATTCCATTCCATTGTTTTGTTGTGTTATCCTTAATTTGAAGTGATGTTGACTGCCCATAAAAGAGGCAGGGAAATATTCCCACAATGGCTTTTTTGACTTCACATGTATGACTTCATACCTGCGGCTTCGCACCCCTGACTTCACACTTATCGTGAAAACAGTGGCTTGTATACAATGTTGCCCACAACATCCCAACACCCCTCCCCACCTCAAACCGAGGCCATGTGGGAGTGACAGAGGCGGTTAAACTCATCATCAGAACATACCAAAGTTTATTGATCATTTCAAAAGAAAACTCAAAAAAATTGTAATGAAAAAAGAGCCGATTGCATTCATAAAATTGAACATTCCACAAGTATTGTATAAAGCAACATGAATATATAAAATCACAGTTGAAGTGATTAACGTATTCCCGGGTTGTTGTTGGTTTTTTTTGCAAGCTGAAAAATGCACCTTAAAATCCTTATATAATGTTTTACATCCCAGTTCTGACTGTTCCCCATATTTACACATCCTCTTTTTTATATACATACATACACATATTATATAATTCTTCCTTCTGCTTTCCAGTTTGCAAAGATCCATTGCTGGTTTTGTCAGCTGAGTACTATCAAACTGAGAACTAATCTCTGGAGCCTACCTGGGCACTGATACACAACTGAATTTAGGGTTATTTTAGCTCACCAGGATATACAATCTTCAGTTAACTAACCAACTGGCATAGAAGAGCAGATTTCACACCCAAAGCAAATTTCATTATTTAACCTGGGGCAGAAAAGTCAGTGCAACCCAAATTGGAGGTGACAGAATTGTCCCTGATTGTGCCAAGCCAGAATGAACATCTTCGCTCATGCCACCACCCAATATTAACCATGGTTTGTTTATATGGATGAATGACAAGCTTTGATTGAAATCAGCTATCCTATTTTTATTTTTTAACGGGGGAATAATGCTTATTTTTGCTGTTATGTTTCTTTAGTGGTGAACAGCAAAATTCTAGATGGACCCGAATAAAGCAAAAATGTCAGTGTTTTTCCCCAAAGAGGTGGGCAGGTTTTCATCCCAAGGTCGTGGTTTTAAAAATGATATAATTGCAGCAAAAACCAGGAAAAATGCTCCTCTGTTTGTAACCTAGCTCTGTTTGGATAGGAAGACAATGGAAACTGAATGAGCTTTGCTCCTGGTTTCAGCGAAAAGCTAATTCTCAAACTCTCAAGTATTACTGTTTGCGTTATTTAAAAATAAAATACCCTTCCCTCCTGTTCCCCAATTAAAAATGGATGCAGGAGTGGTTTTCGATTATCAGGGAATCATGTAAACATCAAAAAAAGACCAACCACATTTTTTCTCCTTTAAGTTGGAAAAAAATGTGGTTATAGCTGACATCCTGCAAGCTTTTTCCTTTTTTTTTTTTTTTTAAAGAGCTATTTGGACTCAGGTTCTGGTCTCCATTGTTCCTTTGCCAAAAAAAAAAAAAAAAGACAACAGGTTGTTCTTATCTTGATAACCTTTTGCAAGGTTGCAAAAAATGCAGCTTATTGGTCAGCGCGCTGAAAATAAGATTGCTCTCGGGTGATTGTGTGTGTGCGTGTTTTGTTTCTAAAGGGAGGTGGCAACAGAAGGATAGCTCATTCGGCCTCCATCTCAACAATAAGTACGTGTGTTGAAGGTACTCATAGTAACTTGTTCTTCAGGGCTACACAGACCTTTCCCTATCCGTGCCCTACTACCAACGCACTTCAAGTATCTTCTCAGCCTTGCTTTGCTGGGCGAGAACTGCATCTACACATCCAAGCTTCGACTCCTTTGAAACCCAACTTAGATCTTCCTCCATCACGGCTCTCGTGGCCACGAACACTTTTGAGGAAATTTCATGTGCCACCATTGGTGTCAGAAGGAGGGGTTGTTGGGGTCCTTTCATGCTGCAACGAAGTCTGCCAATTTGCCCGTAGATACATGCTTTGCTGCTCTGTTCATGCAAATAAGGGAATTTTTGTTTTTGTTTTAGGTGCGCCAAAAGATTTTATAGGACACCTTCTTCAGAGGATGTGTAGAGGTGGCTTGTTAGATGTGGCATGCCTTGGAGATAAAATTGACCAGATGGGTCTTGAATTAAGCAGCCCAAACTGGGATGCAGGGAAGAGGTGAACGTTTTAATCCAAAGATTGAGGAGGATGAATGAATGGAGATTAACAGGTATGAAAAGATGAATACAGGGAGGTCATGAATACTGGGGCTGTTTGGGTCTAACTCAACTCCTTTGGTCATCCATATTGTCTCACCTGGGTGACCAGATAGTCACCTGCTCCTTTCTTTCCGAGCAAAGTCTTAGAAAAACGGGGTGCCTCTGGGAACTTGACCTCTGTCGATGTTTTAGTCTTCACACCAAACATTGAAGTTGAAGATCCCAGATGGTTTTGCAAAGCAATGTGCTAACACATCCAGAATGTATTGCTTAAAGTATTAGTTCTTCCCTTTTGTACACAAGATAATTTTGTTTTTTTTAGGGTTGGCGGTAATCAACCAGTATAGCCCAATGGAGATGTATTACCTTATCTCCTATCGGAACCTCCCACAAGTTTTAGAAGAGAACAGAATTTGCACAGCAAAAGATGACAAGCCCACTGGCCAAGTCTTGCACTCCTGATGTTCTACACCCAAAGTTCTTCCAACTGTTCCACAAAACCAGGATAGTCCAGTGAGGGGAAAAAAGGAGGGTTGAAGCTCAGGCACTTTGACTCTTCTGAAATTAAATGGATCTTGATTATGAAAGCTTCAAGCCAGAGGGGAAAAAAGGATTGCATTTCAAAAAAAAAAAAAGAGAGAGAGAGAGGAGAACTTTCGGTGCGTCTCATCAGCTTTCTGATTTTTCCCCATTGTGTGTGTGGGTTTTTTTGTATTAAAAAAGTGGATTTTATTACATCCTCCTTGGTGTCTTGCGGAGAAAGTTGAGTTAGCAGCCAACACGTCCATCCCCATTTCCTTCATTGAACCGCTGAGTTGATTAAGAAGAGGAAGAATAAAAAAGAAAACGACTCCATTTGTTGGGAGAAAGAATGGAAAAATGCTGTGGGGTGCAAGGAAGCAGGCTAGGCAAGAGACAATAGTCTAACTTTACACTTGCGAAATGAGAATGAAAATCTGTGCTCTTTTACTGGTTCAGAAGGAAAAACCCAAAGCTGGAAAATTGTCTTTTTTTATTCCCCTTGTCCGACAACCAGTTGCAAAACAGAAGCTGCCTCCTTCGTTTCCAAGGTCTCAAATCTCTCTCCATTTTTTCACAATCAAAATAGCCAGTTGGGGTTCTTGGGGTTCTGGCATTATGATGAGGATGGAGTGGGAGAGAAAGAGAAATCACCCACAGGCCTTCCAGGATTTTACACCATTTTTTTTAAAAAAAAAGGAAAAAAAAAACCCAAAAAACAAATCCATGCGCCTTTTTCTTTTCTTTTTTTCTTTAAATGGCATCTTCCTTTTGGGTAGGGCGGATAACTCGTTGCATCACAAAAAAAAAGCAGAATTATAACTGTTGCATTTGAAATACCCTGAGATGGCATTCAGCCAGTTGAGCGAGGGTCTCTCTGGGTTTCACTTCTGCAGAATGGCTGTTCTCTAGCTGCTTGTATGACACCAGCATTGGTAACTCCGAAGGGTTGGGCTGTTTAAAACAGACACACGAAACACACACAGACACAAACACAGGAGAGAGGGAAAGAGAGCCATTTAGCCACAGTCCTTGCTGTTGCTGCTGTCACCGCGATTTGCAAAGATGCACAAAATGATCAGGTATGCGGGTTGCAGCCAACACATATATTAGATTTCTAAGATTTCTGGAGGAAAAGAACATGGTAATTTCCAAAGAAAAGGGGGGAAAAAAGAATGCCAAAAAAATGTAGAAGTGTGGAATGAATCTTTGGGTTTTTATCGAACAAGCGCTGAGATTTTTTTTTAACTTCTGGGCAAGGCAGTTCAGAGGTTTGCTGAACTAAACAGCTACGATATGAGCTTTTTTAAGTTATACTACAAAAATAGAAGCATTATATATGCTCTACAGGTAGATAGTGGAATTTTTTACAGAGGGATATATAAAATTGGAAATCAGAGAAAAACTAGGCTTAGTATGAAAGCATTCCTATTTCTAGGAATTGCATTATTTGTGCTAAAGATGGATGCATTAATGAACTAAATAATCAAGTTTGCCAGAAAATAAAATACAGCACCATCACCTGGGTTCCAGGAGGGATTCATAGAAAGAGAAGCTGATAAAGGAAGGTGACAAAAATAGAGACTGTCATATTTAAAGGATGACAAATGAAGGAGTTGGAAACAGGGATTGGAAAAAACAGAGCAAAGCTGTAGAAATTTCTCAAGCAGCAAAACTTTTGACGTGTCTAATGCCAAGATCTACAAGAGTTTTAAACTGAAGCAGCTAAAGTTACCTGGAGAGAAAGGAAGGAAGGAAGGAAAACGGAGACTTCTCAGATACAGATAGCCATGATCCAGAGATCCTAGATTAAGTGGTGCTCAGAAGCATAGTTTTTTCTGAAGAGGCAAAACTTTTCTGTATTATTAAATTCAACGTATATAGTGAAATAAGAAAGTTAGGCAACATATTTCATGCCACACTCAAAGAAATAACTTCATGTTCCTTTCCTCTGCCAACATTTTATTTATTTAACTTTAATCCAGGGGAGGAACAGGAGTTGCACAATTTAGAAAAGTTATTCTTTTATTCTTCTCCTCTTGGATAGATCATGTAACCCAAATGCATAAGATGCCCCGTTTGTATCTACTAAGAAATTTTTTTGCAATCGAGTTGCAATGTCATGGCTTTGGCATTCTTTTCTCTTACGTGAAAGTAGTTAATTCAGAACAAACTCTAGATTAAGGCAATGCATGTGAAATGAAAAATGGATATGAAGCCTTTTTCATTTCGCTTCTGTATAAGCTACCAATTTATATTTAGCTCCTTTTAAGGTAGACCGGTAAGAGGATTCAGAGAAATTGATCATGTCCTAGGACACAATCAATGATAGCTACTGTTGAAATGCTCATTTTTAGCTTGCCTGACATCATCATTCCCATAATCCCTTGCAGGGTGGAGTCTGGGCAACTGACTGGAGCTAGCAGTGTTTACTGGCCAGATGCCCTTCCTGTCACCAGTATGGAGGTTTTTTTTCCAGCAGATATATTCCCACTGTACCCAGAGAGAGAAATATCTGCCTCTACCTAGGATTGAACTCACAGCCTCCTGATTGTGAGGTGAGAGCTATACCTCTAGGCCACCGCACCACTCTTTAGCTTGACTGACATGTTGACTTTAAGTTGGACACAAATCCAATCCCTGCATTGTTTTGTTCAAACAAATGGGTGCCTTTGACTTCGGAAGAGTTGATTCCTCACTATTTCTTCCTCCCTCAAATTTGTACCTTCTCTGAATTTGGAGGGGACAACGTATCAGATGGACCTACCTTCTTCTGATAGGACGAAAAAAAGAAATGGGTTCTGAAGTTTAGCTCCCAAGACATCCAGCAGTACCATAGATGCCAAAACTCCAATAGCTATTATTTGCTTCTGCCCTATAGTAATATTTTGGTCCAAAACAATTATTAATGGAATCTTTCACATCCATCCTCAAAGAGCGCAGGTATCTGCCCCAAGATCACCACAATTTCACAAACAGCAGCTCCCAGGCATGGTAGGACCAAGAAAATCAAACTGTTGTTTCCAAACACAAGGTTGGATGTCAGTTTGAACCTCTTCCTTCAAAATAACAGACAGAATATCAGAGTTGGAAGGGACCTTGGAGGTCTTCTAGTCCAACCCCCCCTGCTTAGCCAGGAAACCCTACACCACTTCAGACAAATGGTTGTCCAATCTCTTCTTAAAAACCTCCAACGTTGCAGCACCTGCAACTTCAAATTGTTCCACTGATTAATTGTTCTCACTGTTGGGAAATTCCTCCTTAATTCTAGGTTGCTTCTCTCCTTGTTTGGCTTCCATACGTTGCTTCTTGTCCTGCCTTCAAATGCTTTGTACAATAGGTGGACCTTCTCTTCTTTGTGGCAGCCCCTCAAATATTGGAACACTGCTATCATGTCACCCCTACTACTCCTCTTCATTAGATTAGGCATACCCAATTCCTGCAACCATTCTTCCTATGTTTTAGCCTTCAGTCCCCTAACCATCTTTGTTGCCCCTTGATTACCTTAATTACCTTGATTAATTTTGATTAAGAGATGGCACAATGTTGGAAATGCCATGTGAGCATGGTCAACTAGAGGAGGGTTGAAGAGAGGGAAGGTTGAGGAACTGGAGCAGAAGGTAAACATAAAAAAAAAAGAGGGACCTACAGCACAAAGTGGACAATCACGTCCCTTGAACTTCTCAGCCGTCAGCAGAACACGTCCATCTATCCATCCTTAAGCCAATAAACCCCTTTTATGTGCAACCCAGGGGTTGCAGAAACTGAACACAAGTTTTGATCCTCTCCGTTGGGTCCATACAAGTCCGTATGAAAATGAGCCCTTCCTGTTTTAATTTTTTATTATAAAATTAGGGCAGGTGATGTGTTCTGCTGGGCTAAGACAGTAATCATGACAGTTGAGGTTAAAGAATCACATCTAGAATCGTCACTAGGATTCAACCGATTCCCAGGAATCACTGGGTTATTTCCATGCCTTCCAGAGTATCGTTTGGGAGAAGGGGAATACCTGTTACGATACATTAGATGTTTCTGAGAACGTTCTTAACAGGAGAGGCCTGACCGAATCCCTTGCAATTTTTCTGTGGGGTCTTTTCTGCAGACAGCGAGGCAAAAATAAAATAAAGGATATGAGCGGTGAATTCCTGTTTTAAGTAGGGAGGTTTAGCATTGAAAAACACATTTGGTTCCTCAGTGGGAAACTAAAAGGAACTAAAAATGCATGGTTAGGGAAAAGAGAAACCCACAATGGATGTTTGAAAGAGATCGACCTTTTGCTTGGAACCAGAGACATATTTGAAGATCCCGAACCACCATGAGATCCTTGGTAGCCACTTTGCTTTTTGTTCGGATGGGAAGAACTTCTTGGTTCGACAAAGGGCCAGGACAGTGTTTCTTAACTTTAAGCAACTTTAAGATGGGTGGACTTCAACTCCCACAATTCTCCAACCAGCCAGCTGGGGAATTCTGGGAGCTGAAGTCCACCCATCTTAAAGTTGCTTAAAGTTGAGAAACATGGGACCGGGAAACCAAGGGTTTAGATATCTTGAGTTCCTATCAGTGCAGAAATGATGAGCTTGCCCCAATACTCCAATACTCCTTTCTTTTGGATGGAGCCCAATCTAACAGGTTGGCTGGCAGCTTAACAGGAACTGACTAGTTCAGATCACAGCAAAGCATGACAATGACCATCATGGTTGGCCAGTTTATGAAGGATCTGGATTGCCTGGAGCTTGACCTAAAAAAGGAACCATCCATTCACAATCAACAGAAGATAATTTTCTCCGTAATAGATTTGGCTTTCTTGTGCAACATTTCTACCTCTATGTTTGGTTGCTAAACTCTATCTAAAGCGAAGTCTCCCTACCACCAGTAGCTTAGTTTTAATTTTCTCTTGCTTGGCAAATTATTGCCTAGGATTAGAGTGATCATTTTTTCATTCATACTTTTAAGCATTTCTCTGATTTGTGTAGATTGTGGGAACGTTTGATGGTACATTTCTCCAGAACAGCACATACAACTGATTCAAGATAACTCAAGAAGTTTATTCTGGAACTTGCAAAACTTCCTAGTTGGATCATGCTAATCATCTGTAGCCCATCGCTACTAAAAATCACCAGCAATCTTCTAATCACAGCTTTGGGACAATACCTTTGGGTTCCTTCAAACCTACCTTTGCTTCGTGGGCTACTGGACTACAAACAAACCATTGCATTCAGACGGTGTTCAGCACCACTTCTGAATGCACGCAAAACCTCACTTTTGTTTATCGGAAGATTCTTGATGTAGCTTCTCACAATTTCACACATCTGGAAGTGGTCAGGAAGATGTCTCCAGCTGTTGAAGATGCAGGTGCAGGAATCCAGTCTTGGCAAACTACTCCATCCAGGTGAAAAGCTACTGTCCATGCCTTGCTGGGCTAACTTTCAACTAGCAAAGCCCGCTCCCCATTTTTTTTTTTTAAATGCTTCCAGAATGCTAAGATGTTAGCCTTCCATCCTGGAGTGGTCCCATCACTTCCATCAATTTGGCACACCATCTCTGCTTCTTACCACAAAAGGTAATCTTGGTGGCTCTATCAACTGATCCCCAGCAAAACCATCCAGAATAATAACCATCCTATAATTTTGGGAAATCATGGGAGAGGGGGGCTGCTTCCTGCACAAGCTGGAGTTGCAATATCATGATTTTTCAGCTACCCTCCAAAACAGCAAACAGATCGGTGGTGACACGAGCAGGGAAGGAGAGATGACGGAGATATTTTTTTTTTTAAAAAAAGGAATGGCAATTAAGCAGGACTTTGAAATATATGAAGTGTTCCTACTTTTAAAAAAAAAAAAAGAAGAAAAAGGGGGAAAAAAAGAAAAGCAGAATGCATGTGAGACAGATAAGCACATTATCAAAAGGTCAGGTGCCCGGGAAGAAAGCAAAGGAGCGACTGCGGAGAATGGCAGCTTATTAAAAAGAAGAAAATCACCTTATTCATTCAGAGAAACTGTGATTACTGGAGGTTTGAGAGAGGACGAAGATAGTAGATGTTCCCGAGGAAGGAAGACGCCGGGTTACCTGGTTCGCAACGAGACAAAAGGAAAGTGGGAAATTGGAAACAGAGAGAGAAAGAGAGAGAGAGAAAATCAGGCAGCTGGAAAAAGCAGGGCAAAAAAATAATATATTACACATTAGTTCTTTTTTTTTTTTTTTAAAGCTCGTACGTGTTTTTTTTTAATAGTGGAAAAGTACTGATAATAAAAGTCGAGAATGGAGAGAACCTGTTAGAAAGAAGCCGTTAGGGAGGGGGAACAGGTAGCTTTTGATAGGAAGGCATCACAATGCTGATTTCTAAAAAGGAAAAATAATGGTTCTTTTTTTCTGCAGCGTGTTCCTTCTATTGCCGTAGTCAAACTTGAGAAATTAACTCTCTGAAAAACCGGAGTTTGGAGCAGTCGGTCAAATGGGAAGCCAGACGTTTGAGGCAGCTTCTCCAGAGGCATCCATCTCACGCCTAGGAAAGCGTGCTCTTGGACAGAGAGGATCTACTAAAGGTTCGGGAGATCTGTCCTGCTGCAATTGGTCAGGGAGCCTATGGAAAGTCTCCATCATCCAGGACGTGGTTGTCCCAAGGGCATTTTTTTTTCAAAAGTGGACTTTCTTGGGTTTGTTTCTTCTTCTTTGAAAACATTTTGCTTCTTCACTTCTAACTTCAAAACAAACTAAAGAAGCTTCTTGGGTGACAAGCGAAAAGCTTCCAAAGAAAGAAAACCAAGAAAGTCCAGTTGCCTTTTGGAAGGAAAAAAAAAAAAAAGCACCTTTGGGACACCAGAAACATCTGAAAGGACTACTAGGTTGGTGGCCACTGTCAATTTCAGGCTGCAGTAGATCCACTAAGGTAGTAGGACCAGGCCAGGAGCCCTTCTTTTCATCCGTACCTCCTACCAGGAGGTCATCCCAACTCAACCAGAGATGCTTCTACAAGGGATGGGAACAGGGGTGGGTTTCCAAATTTCTTCCTGCTTTGCGCGCTCGCACAGGGGACAAAGAGTGTAAATGCTGGTGAGCTGAGCTGTTTTTGGGCTCAGCTGAGGCGTGGCAATCTGTTTTGCCACGCGAATCAGCTAAGCTAAAAAACAAGGGAATATAGGAGAGGTCATGGCGGGGGTAGGTGGGCGGGGCCAGCCAGAGGTGGTATTTTCCATTTGTCTGAACTACTCAAAATTTCCGTTATCCAGAACTGCTCAGAACCTGCTGAATCCCACCTCTGGTCCGAGGAATATCTGGAGACTCCAAACCAAGGAGAGGAGATTTGGGCTATTAAATTGAGAAAGGCGTGGATCAGCCCTAGAGACTTTCTTACTTTGATAAAACGGATGATCTCTGTCAGATGCTTCACGCTTTACCTCACAGGTCTCCAGGGTGCACAGGTCCCATCAACCCAGGTGTAGCTACTGCTATGCCTTTCAAAACAAGGGCATATAGGAGAGGTAATGGCGGGGGCGGGTGGGTGGGGCCAACCAGAGGTGGTATTGGCTGGTTCTTCGAACTACTCAAAATTTTTGCTACCAGTTCTCTAGAACCGGTCCGAACTGGCTGAATACCACCTCTGGATGGGAAGCATCTCTCGCTGCTCCAGGGGCAAGTTTTGCAACATGGTGTTGCAGCCTCACCTACCCCTCTTCTTCTTCTCTTGCCTGTTTTCAGATTTGAAAATGTAAGGAAATTAGCATTGTCTCTGTGAAGAGAAGATAGAGACATACCGTATAGAGTCCTTCCATAACCTTAATTCTTTTTCAAAAGCAAAAAATATATATATAATTGTTTGTGTTTCCACTTTGCTCTCCGCTCTTCCTGTTTTATGGTTTTTACTTGCTTTTGTCTTTGGTTAGAGAAGTTACATGCTCATGGTATGCTCTAGCAAAAACTACTCTTCCAATATATTCTGTGTGTAAAGTTTACTGGAAAAACCACATTACAAGACAACACAAAGAACAGGTCTCTGTTTTACAACTCCCTGTAATAAATCCAACCCACCCCTTCCCAAAAAAGACCCCTCTAACACGTCAAACGGACAAAATTCCTCAGGACAGGCCCAACTGCAAGACCTTACAAGACAAAATAATAATAATTAATAATAATAATAATAATAATTCTTGCATTCGTGCCACCGTGTGGACCGAAACCACAGCACCAATACGAAACAAGCATTGTAACAGGACTGATATAAAAACGCTGATCTTAGTTTAGTGAAATACCAGTTAAGATTTCAGTCTCAAAGCTTTTTGTTCTACTAACCACACCTTACATGGACTCCTCCTTTCTCCCTTCTCAGGTGTGACCCCAGTTGGTCATCCTACCTACGTTCCCTCAAACTGAGGTCAGGGGTCCACCTCCTTTTCCTCCAACTCTAGATAAGGAGAAGGAAATCAATGAATGCCCCAGCCATAACTAGGCTCCTAAATTTCAGAAGGGATGCTTTCAGCTACGGTTCTCTTGGGTTCCTTGTCTCCAGGACCCCAAATCTGAAAGAAATAAAACCTCCTTGAAAAGGCAGCTTGATCCCCACAAATCACGAACACGGGCAAGGGACTCTTTCATTGAGATTCAAGCTTCAATGCACATTGCAAAGCAGGAGATGGTAAGAAAGAGAGAGAAACTCAGCCTCTAAGGACACCAGCTTTAAAAACCCATTGGGGGAATGGCTCCTCTGCAGAGGAGAGAGGGAAAGCATTCAGACTTCAACTGGTTGAGGGCCTCGTAAGACTAAATTCTTCTTTCTTTAAAATGACGCACGACAGAGAAATATCTACCCTGGACTTGGTTTCCGGCTGAATTTCTCTAGAAGGCAGGGTGTGAAATGGGAGGTTTGGCAAAGTGTTGTTCTGGAAAAAATAACACCTCTCCGTTTCAGACTAGTCCTGATTGGGATGGATTCTCCCATCGTGACATGGTTGATGGCTAACCTATCAAGGCAGAAAGGTGGGGAGATTATTATTTTTTTTCCAATGGGGTCCTCCCCAGACTGCTAAACACTACCCTTCTGTTGCTTGCCCGCTGTAGCCGAATTGAACCAGATGGGAATTGTTTAAACATTCAGGAGAAAGTAACCCCCCCCCCCCAGAAAACACAACAACCGCAGGGAACACCTGTCCACGGTTTCGCTTGAGGCCCGGCTTAGAAGAGCGGGATCCATTCTTCAACTTCACAGGCTTTCTGCTCCTCTCTTACCTCGCTGCTTTTCCTTTTTAAGTGTCTAAATACGAGGCCGATGACCTCGGGGAGGAGGGAGATGAAAATCAGGCAGAAAATCAACAGCCAGGAAGAGGCGAAGGAGAGCAGCTGGGCGAAAACATGGTGCATCCTTTGTTTCTTCAAGAAAGGCCTGGGAGGAGAGGAAGAGGGGAGATACAGAGAGAGAGAGAGAGAGAGAGAGAGAGAGAGAGAGAGAG